TGATTCATATCCTTTATCTGACGTTGATATTCTATCGTAATACAAATAATCCATAATTTACAATTGAATGAATACATCATTTTTAAGAAAAATTGATTATAGATTCTTCAGTTAAATATGTAGATAAAAGAACTACACTTTGAGTGCACAAAATTGATGCACTCATCAGAGAGGAACGAAAATAGTTGACTTATCATATAATATTATTTTTCCATAATAATTTTCAAATAAAAAAAAACTGAATAATTAGAAATGAAAAAAAAATTAATCTACTTCTCATCTAATTATAAAAACTATTAGAAAATACATATATTCATAAATCTTGAACAAATATCTTTCTGATCTATTTAATATATTGTTATTTACCATTGAAATAAAATTAATGGATTGTAAATAGAAATTAACATCAAAATATATTGACTATTAACAAAAGTATTTCAAGATAAAACATTTTATGTTTAAATGAAAGTTTTCATCATTTTATCGAAACTATTATTTAGAAATTTTCAATCATTTATCAAAATCAATCATTATTATCAATATACATTTTTGTAGCATTTGTTTTTATCATTTATAAAAATCAAATAACATTTAAGATTTTTATTAAATAAAGCATGATTATATATTATTGATTTTAAAAACAAAAAACAGCAAAAAACAAAACAGAAATCTGCTGAGATTGATATGAATAGGATTTATGTGAAGCTTGACTAAAATAAATATTAGATTAATTTATATATTTTAGTATCTATTCGGGAATTTGAAAGACGCTTGACTAAAAAAAACAAAAAATAAATATGAAAAAACTATTAAAAAATAAATAAATAAAAACCTTTAATATAAAAATTAATCTTCATCAATATATAATCATTATTGAGTATTTGTTGATGATATTCGTTCAGCTTTTTTATCAGCTGGACCTTCTTGTTGAGATGTTTCTTGTTCAACATCTGCTTCAGCTCGATTTATCTTTTTATTTTCATTTCGTTGATCTTGATCTTATAGAAAAGTTTTTTTTTTCAGAATATTATTTAGAAAAAAAAAAAGAATTTCTTTTATCTTAACTATTGAAATAATTATATTTAGTTTGATTCAAAGTGAGAAATATTAGAAAGAAAAAGATGAAACTTTACTTGTTTGTTGATTTGTTGAATGTTTTTTTTTTTCAGTAGGTTTTGATGATGAACCAGAATCTGTTCCAGTAGAAGGTTTAGTATAAATCACGTTTGATGTAGTTAAATTTTGACATGGAACATATTTCATATAAAATGATCTGCTTCTCAAAAAAGGACGAATGAATTTAACAAGCATATTTTTATCTATAAGAATAAATAAAATTTTATTTTCTTCGACAAAAAAAACATTAAATAGATAAGTTCGACATAAATCATCATTAGTATCAATGAAAATTAATAAAAGAAAACAAATTTACTTAGTTAGATAATAAATTTTGATTATATGATAATTGCGTATTATTTTATACAAGTAAAAACAACGTAAATCTAACTGGTTTGATCTTTTAGCCAATAAATAATTTGTCGCTGATAAATTATATTTGTGGGCACCTGTGGGCACCGTTTAAAGGACACAACCGTTTAAGGGAAAATATAAGCACCATTATAGAGGCACAAAAAAAGAAATATTATTGGTCACAAATTTTTCAAATAGAAAAGTTTTTATTGACTAATGACTCATATAAATTCAGTCAAGGTATCACTGTTTGATAGAGTTTCAACAATTTAACATTATTTTCTATTAATTAAGCTACAGCTAAAAAAATTAAACAATTGTGGCTACTGCCGTGATTTTTTTTGCACCAAAAATGTTATCCATTTTTATTTTGCTGTTTCCCATCTTAAAAA